TATATATATATATATATATATATATATATATATATATATATATATATATATATATATATATATATATATATATATATATATATATATATATATATATATATATATATATATATATATATATATATATATATATATATATGATATATTTATAGGAAAAATTATCACATTTTGTCAACGCGAACGCGAACACACTCTGGGTGCAACGGGACTTGCGGAGTATTTAGTGTAACCTCAGTCCAAACTATCTAGTTGGTTTTTTGTAGTACCCTTGAGGTGCAAGCATTTCAATTTGCAGTAGAGCTACGAGAAACTTGTATTGTATTACTGCCCACCGAATGCATGGTCTCTGTGAATAATTTCGTTTACATCAGGGGTTCTTATGTGTATTGAATGCACACCACTCTGTAATCTCGTGCATGGCGAATGGTTCCTTCGCTCTCGATCCACTTTCAATCATATCTTGATATCTTGATTTGCCTTGTATCTTTGCAGGGTAAATATCACACCAGACGGTCACAAGGCGTTGCTGAACTTAGCAAATGGAGATATGAGGAAGGTTCTTAACGTTTTGCAGGTAGGTATTTCATATATGGCGTCGTAATTGCTCTGATATGATGTCTGTGTGGTGTAGTTTTCGAGACGGGTATTTGTTCACGAGATTACCTTCCCCACATAAACACGAACTGATTGCAGAGGACAGGCTATACAACGACACTTGTGGCTGTACAGTCATAAAGTGTTTAGTCTGCCAGTGCTGTGTCGCTTTACCATCGGGCAAGTCTTCACTGCTGATGTTCTTGTTCAATGTATTTGTAATAATGCAGATTTGTTTACGTATAGACTCAGCGGAATTGATTAGGGTACTGTGTGAGATCATATCTCAATCACACCATTGACGCCGGGGTGTATATAAACATGTTTGCTCATGGAAAGCGTATATGTTGTCTTGAAACTTGCAAAGATACGTGACCGCCGGTTGCTAACAGCGTTCTTTTTTGTCGTACATGTCTCATCGAGATTGAAACGGGACGAAACTGACGCAGATAAACTAATCCAACCCGATTGACGTCAAAGCTACATCACAACTTCATACGAGCAACCAATACATATCCTGGAAGGTTTAAAACTTCTTTCGAGTTAGTATATGACCATAATATGTATATTTATGTATACATATCTAACATGACCATCCGTCCAAATCCGTAAAAGACTTTCGCTTCACAAGCTCACACACGCTCATTGTGATACACACCGCACACTCCACTCACAGGCCGCCGCTATGTCGCACGATGTGGTCGATGGAGATGCCGTGTATCTCACCACAGGTCAACCACTACCATCTGACATCACCAATATCATGAACTGGCTATTGACCGACGACTACCGCTCAGCTTACAATCAAATCAAAACGCTCAAAGACCTGAAGGGCCTGGCACTCACAGATATCATACGTGAGGTGCACACGTTCACGCTTAATTTGGAATTGCCTGTGGAATCGAAGGCGTACGTTATGGATGAGCTGGCCCTCTTAGAGTATGTATATATATATATCCGATAGCTGCAACGCGCGTGGAATTATAGTTTAGACTCTGTGTCAATGGATCCTGACATTCGCTAGTTTACACCCATGCTCACAACTGCGCGAATTGCACATGTTCAGGATATATTTGCAATTACCAATTGAAACATCAAAATTTCTATGTGCTTGGGTTTGTGGGAACTTGTATGTACAACACAAATAAGGTCATTTCGTTGATATTTGAAAAATGTACACACTTGCGACGCCTAATCTGTATTTTCATGAAAGCACGTCACATCCATGATTTGTGTAGATATATATGAAGATATGAGCTGCGTGATACTTATTTAAGGGCTTTTTTTATATGTATCTGCTCAAGGTTAATTATCTGATATTTAACACCGTAAATCGACACAAAACTGTCTGTACAGATATAGACTGGCGTCAGGAACGTCGGAGCACATCCAGTTAGGCGGTATGGTAGGCATGTTTGGTACCGTTCGTGACCAAATTGCAGCAAATTCAGGGTAAGTTCAAATTAAAGAGCAATCATCAGCAACCCGGTAGCATTTGACAAGCACCCCATGTCATCCGAGTTCAGACTTACGTAGCCTTGGAACGTAACGGATATCGAGATGAAACGGACAAAATGTACCATTGATATTACTTTTGGAGTGAAACTGATAAAATAATCTCGTACTATAAATAAAAGGGCAGGTCTAAATGTGCTAGCCAAAATTCTTGTAAAATACTCGGGTGGCATCCTATGTTTTAATACACCGCTGCACCTCCTAAGGCAATAATAGTCTGCGTTGGAGCAGGTCGCACAGTCTTTATGATTATGTCACCAGGTACACAGGTTAGAAAGAGTTCAAACTTTCCGAAAAACACTTTTGATACAGATATTATAAAAATCTGAGCAAACCTACATCGATATGAGTACAATAATCATAGACACGTGCATAAAATTTGCAGATGCAACTATACAAGAGAGATAGTTTGTGATATTGAAATATAAACGAATGATGGACAATATTTGGACTGAAGTCTCTAATCAAACCCTATAGATGTAATTATGTATACTCGTATCCAAATAGTTATGATTTCGAGTGTAAAACCATATAGATAGTTCTGACCGTTTTGCATAAATTCAAATGCCAATCAAGTATGTACGCACAAGAGTGTGTTTCCAAATTAGAAACTTCAGACTGAATAGTGGCCGAAATAGTAGAAATATGTACAGCCCTCTAAATTGACAAATATGAGTGATTGAGCTAGGCTATAAACCTAGAGCGGGAAATAGAACGCCTACAATGCAGAAAACATTCAGAAACCAGCAGACATCAACGAAATGTTTCTCGCACTTCAATCCTGCTTTTCCCGAAGACAACAACAGCCTCTAGTTAAACTGATTTGGTAAATGTAGTAGGTGTATAGGAAGTGGATACTGATCCATTCGAATTGGCACTGTATTGCTCTGGATGACGTAAAGTATCAATTGCTTGGCGACTGATTAGTATTCCGCCTCAGATGTCGGTTAGTAGCGAGGACAGCAACAACAGAAGTCAACAAGGCAATGGCCAACATAGCAAAATACAACCCGACTGCTTTCGAATATCCATATATGTTATAGATACACTAGCTATATTTTGTACTGCATTCGTACACGGGGCCTCAAGACACACCCTCATCATGAGTGCTGAAGGCCAGTGACGCAGTCCCAGTGCCACAAACGCGAACGCAGAACCGGACAATTGTACCACGTAGGTGCATAAAAAAAATGAGACAAAGACGTTTTTTTTGGGTGGTTTTACAACGGTTTGTCGACTCCGAAGATTTGTCCTTCAAGCTTCGCACAGCCCACCAAGAGCTTCCTAAAGTACTACGGACATATTCTAGATTATGAAACGTTTTGGATGGATATGTCACCGCAAAATACAAAGAAGATACCAATCAGGTGCACCGACTGCGACTACTTCACGCATTTAATGAAAAACCACAGTAAGTAAACAATCGGTTGTTGATTGATTGATTTATTTTCATGGTATATTCTTCATACACAGCAATGCTCCGAACTCTGCTCCTCTGACTAAGCAAGCATAATCATACACATTTTTTGAATTATGTATAATCATAATGAGACTACGAGACTCCCAAAATTATCTACACATCGACATTGAATACACAACCATATGTTGACAGGCAGCCGGGCGGATGCAGTCGCTCGCTGCTAGCCAACGTACGGATGATACTAAAAGCTACCAATACTAACATGTATGTATTGCTATACAGTGCCAGTTGGTGTCGAGTGAAGGTGTCTAGGGATTGATAAGCGTCCCCTAGTATTATCTCGGGCGGAGTACCACAACATTAGCGGACATGGACGAATATCATGCACACTGTGAGTGGGGCTCCCGTGGGTTGTCAGACTACCGATTCACGATCCGTGTGGATCTTGATTTCAATGAACGGAGGTCGTCATAAATGTATGCCGAGAGAGGTAGAGAAGAGTAGTAAAGTATATTGCTAGGTATGCCGATACCTCAGTATTTGATCAAGTATTTCTCATATAACGAGAACATAAAACTAGGAAGCCTTAGTAAACATCCACCAGCACTTATGTCGTACATGAGATGGCCCTCTCTTTACAGATACTTTTCAATATCCGGGACCATGGAGTTCGGATCATCTTTGGGACCAAATCTCTTGACGACTTTGCCGTCTCTGTCGATCAAAAATTTTGTGAAGTTCCTGCACATTTGCAATTTTTTCAAAAGCATGTTCATATCTCGTTTGCCAGATATCAAAGTAACGAGAATGAAATGATGAAAGGCATTCTTTACCACTATCATTGTATTCAGATCAAGTAAACACTTCAAAGTACATAATCTCGGTAAAGAAGCGAACACACCATTTGATAGACTTCAACCCGAAAATGCCAGATTTCTGAGACTTCATGTACTCCCACATCGGATCCGCAGAACTGCCGTTCACATCGATCTTTGAGAACAGCTGAAACTTGACATTGAATTTACTGGCAAATTTCTTGATTTCTGCATCTGATCCCGGTTCTTGCCCACCTGCAGGGTCAAGAGAAATGTACATATTATCCTCTCTCCACATATCTTAATTGCAATCTACGTAAGTGGCAATAGCACATATTTGTTCGCAGCGACATACGATCCGCATACGACTCACACCGTAAGGGGCATGTTCACCTCGTTGTTCTACAAATCGATATGACACACGAGGTGCACAGAAAGTATTTTAAAGACGGCCTTCTACTACAGCGCACGCAACGTATAGACAAAAATACACACAAAATTATGCTTGGTGAAAGCGCGCAGACAAACTCGTAAAAGGTATGAAGGGAACGATGATTGTAATTGCAGAGGTACGACTGATATAATGAATCTGAATCTATCTATAGGGATGGTTACAATTATGCAGAACTACATATTTCAAGAAAATTCAACAAATAATCGTATATACAAATATATATCACATAAATATGTATGAATATAAACAATGAATATATACACATTCAAAAGCATATGTTTATAATTTAAGTAAATAAATGAAAATACAAATATAAATATATACATACATATATACATATATACATACATACATAAATATATGTATACGCATAAAAATACGCATAAATATGTACATATACCTAGATACATCAAAAAATAAAAACAAACATACATGTATACACACACACACACATATTTATATATACATACATACATATATATATACATATATACAAATATATGTATACGCATAAAA